TTGAATTTCAAAAGATATGACTGGGTAGAGGGACAGAGACCATCTTGTGACCTGATAGCAGTTGATCTCAGGAAAAAGTTGTTGTTATGTGCCATCAAGTCAGAACTGACTCATAGTAATCCCTCCTTGGACTCATAGCAACCCCTCCTTGGGTTTCTGAGGCAGTATCACTACAGAAGTAGATTGCCCAACCTTTCTTCCAAGGAGTGGCTGGTGGGTTTGAACCGCCAGCCTTCTGGCTAGCAGTCAAGTGCCTTAGGCACTTTGTTACCAGAGCTCCTAACACAGGGCTGGGTTCAGTCAATCTTGTTAAGATTAGCCAATAGTTAATCTCTTATGTAAAAGGAGCTCTGTGGTATAGATGTTAAGGCATTTGACTGCTAACCAAAAGGTTGGTGGTTCAAGCCCACCAGCTACTCTGTGGAAGAAAAATGAGATAGTCTGCTTCTGTAAAGATTTATAGCCTTGGAAACCCAATGGGAGCCACTATGACTTGGAATTGACTCAATGATAGTGAGCTTGGTTTTAGTTTGAGCTCCTCTTTATAAGCCTCATTGTACCCAGCTTTTTCAAGTTATTCGCTTTTTTTCTGGAATCAAAATGGTCTCCCTTGGGAGCTCTGGTAGCATAGTGGCTAAGACACTTGCCTGCTAACCAGAAGGCTGGCGGTTCAAACTCACCAGCCACTCCTTGGAAGGAAGGTTGGGCAATCCTACTTCCGTAGTGATACTGCCTCGGAAACCCAAGGAGGGGTCGCTATGAGTCGGGGCCGACTCGACGGCACATAACAACAACAACAACATATGCATATAGAATAACTGCTCAGAAAAAACTTATTTGTGTTCAAGTTTCATTGATTTTTTATTATTTTTAGCAGCACTAAATGGTGAGTTGGCTATCTGGGAAAATAACTCTATTAAGCAAGAGTTGATGAAGAGGAGTTGATTAAGTACAAAATTAAGGCAATGGTCTGTTTGCATGGAACCAGTTTTGTTTGCTATTTTTAAGTGATAAGTCCTTACTCTGTAGGGTTTAGGTTTGGATACATAAACCTCAAACTTCTTTATTAGCATTGAGTGGAGTCAAGGGTTCTTGATTACATGAAGCAAAGAATTGAGGCAATTAACTGATAATTCAAGCCCAGGGAAAAAAAAAATTGGCTTGACATATTTAAGAAGTGCCCCATTTTCTGTTAAATCATGCCTGTCCAAAGCTGTTTCTCTTAAAATTTCTTAAGGGTAAAGGTAATAGAATCATTATCAGAATACTTGAAAGTTTTATGTTTAGTGAGTAGCCTCCGAGTGATAAACCACTATTTTTCTAGGAAACTAACTCAGAAATTCCTTTGAGCCCTTAGTCCCAACTAAAATTAGCCTCACTCTCTTTTCTATTCCTGTCCTGCATTCTCTATCAGAATAGTAAGACAACTTTGGAAATGAAGCAGGCACTGTCTTTTGTGGAGATATATCACAGGGTAAATACAATAGCACCCAAGCGGAAAGTAGGTGATGAAGATAATTTGCCTTACAGCATTCTTACATAGGTTAGCAATTCACCTTCCAGTCACAGACTGTGTTTCCTTGAGATTCCAAATGGAGGAAGGTGTGGGTACCAGCTAGAGAAAGCATAGAAAAAGTATGCTGCAAGAAAATGAGCAGAGGTGTCCGAGCCAGGTGAAGTGGAAATGTAAAGGCTCTGTGTTGCTGTGATGCTGGATGCTGTACCAATAGTATTGCAAATGCCAGCAGAATCACCCAGATTGAACAGGTTTCAGCTGAGCTTTCAGACTAACACGGACTACGACGAAAAGGCCTGGCAATTCATTTCTGAAAATTAGCCGGTGAAAAACCCCACAGATCACAGCAGAATATTATCCAATATAGATAGTGTTGGAACATCAGCTCCCCAGGTTGGAACACTGAAAATACACAGTGGCTGCAACAGTGGGTTTGAGCATAGCAGTCATCATGAAGGTGGAACAGAAATGGACAGTATTATGGGGGTGCCAACTCAATGGCAATGAACAATAAAGCTGAAAACCTTCAAAGACAAAGATGAGGCTACCAGTTTCCAATTATGTTGTCTTTGTTAGATGAAAGACAGGCCACCCCTGGGGGAATGTTCTCCAAAAGAGGAGGTAACATATTTCAAGTAGTTAAATTCACACTTTCTTTTTACCTACACAGACCCAGCTTGTTCTGAGGCACTTCTAGGCCCCAGCTAGAAGCTAGCTGTTTTGGAATGCGTGGCATGCCTAGACAAAAACACATCTTGAATCATTCTACTCACTGACATTGCCTAGTGGTATTTACACTTGTGTTTACCAAACCTTCCATCCCAGCCATATAAATGCACCTCTAATCTAAGCTCACTGGGGAGTCCAAATACACATGGCATCAAAGGGAGAATATGAAATGATTCTACAGGTAAGTTAATAAAAGGGTTAAGCCTTTGGCTAACCTAAACATTAAAACTAGAGTCTATGTATGAGAGTAGTAACTCTTCCAATGAAAATTGCTTAAATAGCCATAAAATCACAGTTTTAGGCCAAATACCAGTTTAGGACATTTTTTTCAGAAACCATATTTAGATAATCTACTGCCACAACAGAGATCTTACAGAATTTTTGCAAAACTCATTGTAATGCTCAAAATAACCACTCAGATCAGGGATTAGCCAAGCTCTCTGTAAAGGGACAGATAGTAATTTGTGGTTTTGTGGGCCACACAGTTACCATTGCAACTATTCCATTTTCTGTTATAGCAGAAACCAATAAGACAAAAACAAATGAGTATCCAATAAAACTTTATGGATGCTGAAATTTAAATTTCATATGATGTTCATGTGTCATGGAATATTCTTCTTCTTTGTATTTTTTTTGCACCATTGTTAGCTCACAGGCCATACAAAATGCATCAGCCCGGGTTTGGCCAGCAGCCCAGTTTTCCAGACCCTGATGCAGGTGGTTGAGGGATAAACATTGCTGTTATTACAACACTGAGTAAAGGGACACTAAGGTCAAGAAAAACCAATGCAAGGGGGAAAGGGGCAGAATTGTGTCTTGTTACTCTAAGTGGAGTCTAAGGACCAGGGTCATCAGCCCCACCTGGGCGCCACCCCAGACCCAGTGAATCAAAAAAACCTGTATGTAAAAAAGATCCCCAGATATTTGTAAGCATACTGATGTTTGAGAAGCAGATGGGGTGTGATGTAAACGCTGGGCTCTAGAATTAGAAGGCCCAGCATACATTATCATGCCTCTCACTAACTATGTCATTTTGGACAAATCTGGTGACATGGTGCCTAAGACATTAACTGCTAACCAGTAAGGCTGGCGGTTCAAAGCCACCAGCTACTCCTTGGAAGGAAGATTGGACAATCTACTTCTGTAGTGATGTTGTTCTTGTTATGTGCCGTCGAGTTGGACCTGACTCATAGCGACCCCTCCTTTGGTTTCCAAGGCAGTATCACAAAGTAGATTGCCCCATCTTCCTCCTGAGGAGTGGCTGGTGGGTTTGAACTGCCAGCCTTCTGGTTAGCAGTCAAGTGCCTTAGGCATACGAAGTGATACCACCTTAGAAACCCAAGTGGGGAGAGTTGCTATGAGTTGGATCCAACTTGACAGCAGTGAGTTTGGTTTTTTTGTTTGTTTGAATACATAAAAAATGGGGATACTGATGAGTTAATCCATGTCAAACATTTAGAAACTGCTTAGCAACTAATATTTACTAAATGCTTTTTATCATTCATTTTAAACAAACAAATACACACACACTCCTAAAGTCTACTTCTTCAGGGACATGTTTTAACCACAGTCACTTTCAAAGAGTTGACTAGAGACCTCCTCACTCTACCCCACAATTCCATCCATAAACGAAAAGAAAGACATCACAACTCCTGGCCGCAGAGTGTAAAATATATTGATGGTTGTAAAGGGACAATTTGGAGACAAATTTTAGGTCTGCTGAGATGACATGCAGCATACATACATGCTCTGTTGTTGTTGTTGTTTTAAACCAAGTCATGACATGTTTAAATACATCTCTGTTTTTAACATGGTATTTTTTGATTTTTTTTTTTGTTCTATTTTTTGTTTTTCCATTAGCACAGATTACTACTCTACAGTTTCTCCTAGAGTAATTAAATATAATGGCTAAGTTTGCAGAGCAACTACAGACTTATTTAGATGTTTAACAAGGTGAACTGTTTCACAATCAGATCAGTGACAGAGTGAACAGCAAGATGTTTTTCATTTGTCTTGCTCACGGCTGTAATGGAGGGAGTTCAAGTTCCCATATATTCTTTTCACATGTTTGGTTATCAACAGGCTCCAAGAGGTAATGAAAAATTAACAATCTGTTAAAAAATTGAAATTGTAATCATGTTGTGGGGTTTTTCAAGACCCTTAATGTCAGATAATTTAAATTTACAAGTGGAAAGAAAAATAGGTGTCATGGAAAACTACATAACAAAAAAAACTACTGAAAAATACATCTGTAGAATACATGGTCAGTTGTAAACAGCTCAGAAGGACAAATAAAACAAAAAACAAATCCTTCTAGAATGTTAGCAGTCCAATGACAAACTCTGCTTTTTTTTTCTTTTTCTTTCTTCCTAGTGGCTATTTTCCTACCACAGTGTTGAGCTTCATTATTATATTAAATAACTTATATGGGTAAAAATGAGTTTGCTAACCAGCAGCCAACTCAAAATCTTTAGGAAGAGGGAGGAGAGGAATTCACAACACAGCACACTCTAAAGGGAAACAAATTCCCCAGTCAGCATTCAACCAGTGCTACCCTCGCCAGCAATACTGATAGAGCTGAGTTTGGGGATCTCTATGGAAGGTTTTTTTTCCCCTCCCTCCTCTCCCTTTTTCATTTAAGTTAACAAAGAAATGTGGGCTTCCTAACAGCCAGCACTATGCTGGGCAAGTCCCATTAGCAGCAAATGTTCAACCAAATTAAAAAACACACACACACACACACACAAAAGAAAGCTCCATCCAGGTGCAGAGCTGTGATTCACATGGAAATTCCAGGAGATGAATCATGTGCAGAGCTGGGATCTTCAGAGGATTCTTTCTCAAACATCCTCAGTGAACAGTTCAGTCTCACAAAATCTGAGTCAATCTGTCAAACTGTGGGAAATCAGTTCCCCATCTGCTCTGGAGTGAGCCTGCTTTCTTTGCTGACCAAAGCACTCTGATGGTGGGGTCCTCAAGATTTTTCATGGTACTTGATGCCAGAAAATAAAGACCAGCTCCTCAGTGATCTGCATGATGATGCAGTTGCAGTAGCAACAGCAGCAGCAGAAGCAGCAGCAGCAGCAATCAGCATCCCATACGTTAAACTCTGCCTAAGAGGCTCGACCTGAGTAATAAAGAAGACAACATAAGAAAGAATGCTAGAGAATGAGCCAGGATTAAAATAGCGTGCCTAACATTAGCTTCACTTCACTTGTGTTTTAAGCTTGATTTCACATATTTAAAAAAATAGGAAAAAGAATTCAGCTGTGAAGACCTTCTGCTTTTGTGGGAAAATTGCTAGTCACTTGAAACAAATATTTATTAGTGGACATGGTAAAAGGGTTGTTTATAGGGCTTACATGGCTTTATATTAAAACAGCAAACCAAACAATCATTAATGATTTTAAAACACTGTTAGGTATGTGTTACTCTTACAGACTGGCTCACTTAGTAGATAGATCTGAGCGTCCTCAATAACACGTTCCATGACTATTGGATATACTGATGTAGTAGGTGATGAGAAAGGTGTCTGCCCTCAGAGTTTTCTTTGTCACTGCCACTACTAAGCCTACGTGACAGCAATGAATGGATCTAAGGCGCAGGAAAAAGCATCTATGTAAAAGCATCTTACTGCTTTCGAGGCATAACGTACAAGTTCTCAGGTAGGTACTATCATTCTAGAATAATTAGTTTAGCAAACACTTGATGTATGTGCTTTGCAAATTTTAATAGCCTATTTTCTTTCTTTATCCTCTCATGGTCACTATGTTTGGCCAACACCTGAAGTAACCCAGCATCATTCAAGAGCACCATAACAGCATGGATTTAAAAGCAATGGTGTGTAAGATGTCATGTTAAGTGCTATGAAGGAGAGACCCTGGCTTTCTTGTCTTTAAAGGGCTTACATATTAACAGGCAAAGAACTGTAGGCACTACAAAAGAGTGCTTTCTTGGTACAAGAAGGGAACTCTCAACTGGACTACGGCACTAATTGTACCCATGAACTACTGCCTTCTCTGTCATGAAATCAGAACTGGCTAGTACCCAGTTACCATAAGCAAACTTTTTATCACGGGCACAGTAGATAGATCCTGATAGAAAGGAAGAAAATGTGGAATAGTATTTCAAACTCCTAAAGATTCCAGACTCACTGGATCCCCTGAAATTGGAAGAATCCCAAATTTATTGCCCTGAGATAATCTTTAAACCTGCAACCAAAATTATCTCCAGAAGTCATCTTTAAACTAAACAGTTTAGCTCAAATAGTAAAAAACGTGTGCCTTGAGTACCATGCTCTTTTAAGAGAGTGTACATATAAGACCAAACTGACAACAGTAAATCTAAAGCATAGATGAGAAGTTTGGGGTTTTGGGGGTGGGGGGGTGGCAATGAGTCTAAGTTAATGGCAATGAAACAGTTTGAGTATAAATACAGCAGTCCCCAGGTTATGAACATCCAACTTATGAACACTCAAACTGGAAAACTCCTATTTGCTTTTTAATGTTATGTAAATTTGCCCTAGCTTTGAAATGATTAAGCCAGCCCCTACTAAGCAACAAATTTTTCATTACAATCACCTTCACTTGCTGCACATGCAGATTTTAAATAAATGAAAAGGTTTCAAGCCTTTTCTTGCACTAACCAAAAACCAAACCCACCACTACCAAGTCAATTCTGACTCATAGCAACCCTTTAGGAAGACTGTAACTGCCCCATAGAGTTTCAAAGGCTGTAAATCTTTATGGAAGCAAACTGCCTCATCTTTCTCCCATGGAACAGCTGGTGGGTTTGAACCACAGACCTTAGCAGCAAAATGCTTTAACCACTATGCCACCAAAGCTCCTTCTTGCACTTACCAAAACCAAAACCCACTGCTACTGAGTCGTTTCTGACTCACAGAGATTATATAGGACAAAGCAAAACTGCTCCACAGGGTTTCAAAGGCTATAAATCTTTATGGAAGCAAACTGCCTCATTTAGCTCCTGCGAACCAGAATGTGGGCTTGAACCAACAACCTTTTGGTTAGCAGCTGAATGCTTTAACCACTATGCCCCAGAGCTCCTTCTTGTACTAAATTAAGGCTAACTTGCCATATGCACCTGTTCTGACTTACCTACAAATTCTTAAAGACACAGTTAGGAATGGATATTGTTTGTACCCTGGGAACTTCGTATACTGAAATTGTTGACACAAAGTGAAGAATGTAACCAATGTCACTGAACTATACGTGGAGATATTATTGGTTGGGTACATGTTTTCCTCTGTATATTTTCACCAAAAATAAAATGTCAAAACAAACAGAAGGAAAAAAAAAAGGAGAGGAGAGGGACTTTTTCTGGAAAACTGGGTCAGGAGGTAAGGTACTGGAGCTGGGTCTTGAAAAGGGACAAGGTATAGGAAAAGTAATGTGCATGGCTTAAACACAAACATGAAGGGAGACTGTGGAGCCCAAGGCCCCTTGAAGGAAAAGTGTAATATGGAAATTAGTCTTTTACACCAAATGATACATAACCATTGTGTTTATATACATATTTTCTTATATACCATACATTTTACTTATGTCACTGCTGGTCCTTTAATGAATTCTTATTAGAGGAGTTATTACTGGGTAATTTTATATATCTGTGCAATTGTAGGTGGATTTATGTCTGAATTTAAGGCCGTACATACACTTTTCACCTCGTATTTCTAAAATCTCCACTATTTTGTCACATTTTAAGCAATCAAATGTTAAGTGGTGGTGTACATTGTGTGTCCAGTACATACAGATATGGGAAGAGACTAAACAATTCAGTTTTTACTTCTTACTAACAAATCAGTACAAACTCTGCTAACTTAACCAATAATCGATAGGTATATGGCATAAAGGAATAACAACTACAAACAGACTATTTTTGTAGACTATTAGGTAGGTTTGGACTATTACGTAGGTTTAGACTATTTTAATGTGTTTGTGTTCCACAGATAACCCAAGTATTAAGTATCATTTATCCATAGCCAATTTATTTACCAATTTTTAAAGAAAAACTTTTAAAAAAGTAACAATAACTAAGCTGTACTTAGAGATCATATCAAACTTAATGTTTTTAAAAAATAGAAAGGGGGAATTAAAAAGAAGAGAAATATGGAAAGTAAAATACATCTAAAAAAGATAACTGAAAGATTTCTAAATCTTTTATCCAATAAGATGTATATTCTAGGTTCCTGATACATGGATGGTACCAAAGAGTTCAGTAAATACCGTTTAATACAAATGCAAAATAATACAGAATATTAATTTAAATGTGCACTGGCAGGCACAAATTTTCATAAAAACAGAATTGGGCAGCCCTACAGGCCTGTTATATCCTCACAATTCTGGACCATTGGCTAGACCTTTTTTATGTTTGTGTCTGGGAATACAAAAAAGCATCTCCTTTACCTATCATCATGATTTATTCTAATAATTCCAATAACTCTGTAGCTCATCCCTCCTCAAAGAGTGGTACACAAAAGCTCTAAGTTTTCCTTTGAAACAAACAAATGAGACAAAACTAAGCTTATTCTGAATATCCTGTTTTATGAAGCTTAGCCCAATATGCCGTATAATAAAAGCTCCCAAATGACTCTGTGGTCACAAAATGAAGAAGGGGAAGTTTGCTTGTCAACTCTGGTGTAAAAAGGTACATATTCTCAGAGTTTCTTTATGGAAACACAAAGAAAACAACTTTAATTATATTGTACTATATCCTGGCCTGCTTTTCTTGCCCATTACTGTGTTTCAAATGATTTAAGTACAAATATACCATGTATAAATTTTTGTTTAAATATTCTAATAGAAAATAATTTTTCAATACTCAGTATTAGGTTTAAAACAGGGCTTCAAACTGGTTCCTTCTGGTTCAAAACGCCACTGAGAATTTGCCTTTCTACCCCATATATACTGAATCAGAATCTACATTTTAATAAGTGACTCTTATGTGTACTTGTTAAAACGTAGGTCTTGTTAAAATCTGTCCCTGGGGTGGAAATACAAGTGTTCAGCAAACAGTCAAACCACTATGAATCAGACTGTAGCCTGGGTTTAAAGTCTCAGCTCTCTCAAATGAAAGAGGGGACTAAGGTCCCAGAGGTAAGTGAAAGTGACATATGTAACTTTACAGAACTAGGTGGTACTTAAGTCTCTATTAACTCAGGTCAAATAAAAGTTTATAGTTAAGGAATTATTCAGAAATATGATTCAAACTTCTGATTACTTAGATAAGGAAATTTAGATGGTACTTTTCACTGTAAAGGTTATTTCTGTTCCCATTCCATAAAATAAATGGGAGAGAGAAGAGAGAACCTAGAGTCACTGTATATCTACCGGTAAAAATAAATAAAGTCAGCACAAATGAATGGTGGCAATGAGAATTCTAAGCCCCAAGAATTCAGTCTATACACAAGGCGAAGAAGACTTACACTAGGTAGGCCGGGACCTCCCATAGAAAGCATGTGGTTTTCCTCAAGTGAGGCCAACATCTCCTTTGGATTTGAGAAACAATGAGACCTACCTTAAAGACTTCCATCTGTCTTTCTCTACATGATTTTCAGGTCCTTCACTCTCATAGGAAGCCAAGTAGAGAGCTATAATCAACCAAAAGTAACAGTCCATTAACACTGAAGCCTTCTCCCAATATATTATCTACACCATCTATCCTTTTGTTCAACTTGAGCGAAACCCTATAGTAAAACACACCCTTCTACATCACATGATGACTGAAAAGATTCATAGGGTCATTAAGAACACAAGACAGTACTTTGCCTCTGCCACACAACAAAATTCCAATGGCCTCCAGGCCAAAAGAGAACTTTAATTAGCTAAGAGACAATTTATGAGGCAAAAAGGCTTACAAATGCAAGCCTCGTGATGCTGCTATATACCCAGATTTATGCTCTTTACAAAGAGGTGTCTAGGAGCTGATTCTTCCTGGTATCCTTGGTTTTTAAAAACTGTCCTCAGAGTAAAAAGCCAGGATTTCTAGGCCAATTTTCTATCCTTCTAAAATTTTTTTCTTTCATTTTATATCAGAAGGAATCTATACGGAAAGATTAAAAAGCTTGTCAATAATCCTATTTGTTGTGCTTGGGTACCATTGAGTTGGTTTATCCTGTTTATAGGGGTAAAAAATTATCAAATCCTCTCTGGAATGGGTATCATTTAGTGATCAAAAGTAAATGGGGTCCCAGATTGGGAACTGCAATGAGTTCTTCATTTTCTGTTCTGTTCAGCAAACAGGAGTTGTGGCAAACATTTGCATTGTCGTAAAATTAATATATGCATAAATTGCCAGTTTCCCAACCACATATTTTTATGCAAATAGCACACACATTATACAGTTAGCTACTGTGCAACCCCCTTGAACATTAGTTTCCTATGTGCATTATATATACATGAGTGTTATTTATGTGGGTGTGTTATATGCAAATGATATAGTAATTAAAACATATTAACAGATATTCACATTTAAAACCTAGTGTGCTTAGTCTTTCAATGACAATTTAAAACATACTTCATGCATTTTGATCTCTATCAATCTCCTATGGGGAAATTGTTGGTTAATAGGTGCTATTGATTCCTATAATCTTAGGATATAACAAATCACTGGAGTGAATCCACAATCTTTTATAAACCCTAACTTTCTTCAGGTGAATTTTTTTCTGTATATATGCAATATAGTAAATTACTTTGTGTGGCTTTTCTACCCATAAGTCTTTGTAAACTCCAAGGTGGGATTTGCCATGAGCAACTGAGGAGCTCCTGATTACTGAAGGTGTCCACCTGGAGTATTTCTGCTGGGAGTGGCACAAAACAATGTTCTGGGAGGTACCCACTCTCTCTCGGGTGCTTAGAGTTCTGATGCTATAATTGGCTAGTTTGACCACCCTGCCGGGCTCAAAAGGAGGCCTCCTAGAGGCAGAACTCTCTGACTGCTGGTGGAGGAAGACGTGCTGCCGAAAGAGACACGCGCCCCTGAAAGAGACACACGTTGCTGGGAAAGAGACGCAAGAGACACGCATTGCTGTGTGAGACACCGAGGGACCAGCACTGCTGGGAAAGAGACTGTGAGAGACTGTTGGCTGAGGGACGGTGGGCTGGGAGAGAGGGTTGAGCATTTTTTCTGAACTCGAATTGTAGCCTGGTGCTTCCCTAATAAACCTCATAATCTGTGAGTTCTGTGTGGCCACTGCAGTGAATTATCGAACCCAGGAGAGAGGTGGTGGGTGCTTTGGGAGGAACGGTTGGTGAAAGGGCTGGAGGGAGGCAGCATGTCTGGCCTTGCAGTAATAGGCCTTGGGTTACTGCTGGTAATCCTGTCTTCCTCTTGTGGGATTAGAGGAGGTCAGAACATGTGGCCTCCTGGCCGTTTTTGCAACATATTTCTTTCCTGTCTGAAATTCACCAATATTTTAACAGGTCAAGACTTTCTTCAAACAGTATGAAGCAGCAACAGACTGTTGTTTGGAGGCTTTTGTTTTTTTTCCCCAAAATTACCATAAAGCACCTTTATCTCCACTGAAGCAAGCCCAAACTGGGGGGAAGGGGGAATCCTTCAATAACCTTTCATTTGTACCCAAAGTTCTGAAGATCTAATAATATAAAGAACCTTTAAACACAGAAACACAGTACTTACATGAATAATAGCATAATCCACTTAGGTGAATTTTAAGTGGGTACTAGATTCAAATACTTTGGGAATAAATCGTAAGATTTTCTGTGTAATAGAAAACTCTAAGATGGAGGAGGTCAAAGGTCAGACCTCATACTACATCAAGAACTTACACAACAATTTCCTAACTATAGTGTATATGGCAGCTCCAAATAAAGGGCCACTCACCATCTTCACTGAAGACTGGTACTGTGAGCAGGTACTGCAAGATCTTCCGGTCCCTCTCAAACGGACACTCTACTTGTTTCCATGTCATGAATTCACTTACTTGCTTGGCCAGTTCCCAAAATTTCTGGAGAAGAATTTTTAAAAGATAGAAAAAAAGAGGAAATTTAAGGGCCGCCATCAAAAATTGAGACAGTTTCACTTATTATGTTTCACTCTGGTTTCTAATCTTCTGAGTTATATAATTTAATTTTATATAGACTGCTTTTGCTAGGTGTAGATAAAAATTTAGTCAGTTCCTCCCAATAACAAGAACAACAGTAATAATGTAGGTAATCTATTCCACTCAATATCATCCATTTCTTAAAAATCAGTTGTTGTTGTTCGTTTTCATTGAGTTGATTCTGACTCATGGCAACCTCACATCAGCAGAACAGAACTGCTTCACAGGGTTTTCAAGGCGGAGACTTTTAGGAAGCACAACACCAGGCCCGTCTTCTGAGGCACTTCTTAGTGGGTTCAAACTGCCAACCTTTTGTCTAGTAGTTGAGCACTTAACTGTTTGCGCCACCCAGGAACTCCTACAAATTAGTTGTTGTTTTAAGTGCCATTGAGTTGGTTCTGACTCACAGCAACCCTATGTATAACAGAACGAACACTGCCTGGTCCTGCGCCACCCTCACGAGCATTGCAGGGAAAAGAGAAAAGTTGGTTCCGTAGTTTCAAAATCAGGGTGACCTCTGGGTGCCTGGCAATGGATGTGATGCTAGAGAAGCTGCTCTCCCTCTGCTCTCTCTTCTGTATCCTACTCCACCACACTTACCTCAAAATTGACATGGCCGTTTGGAAGGCGGTTGGCACAGCCCTCATTGAGGAAATAAATGTCTTTGATTAGAAGACTGAAGAACGGTATCACAATCTAGAGAAAACCAAAGAGATTCTGGTTTGTTTAGGCAAATAAACATTGAGCTACTTGTTAAACCATAGAAGATTGAAAAAACAACACCAATTCCATATTTCACAAAAGACCTCAATGAATTAAGATTTGGTATTTTATTTACCTCATGTGTCAGCAGTTCCCTCCCTTTTTAGTAATTTTGCTTAAGATGCAAATATTGTTGTTGTTGTTGTTAAGTGCCGTCGAGTCGTTTCCGACTCATTGCGACCCCATGCGCAGCAGAACAAAACACTGCCCTATCCTGCGCCAGCCCCACAATCCCTGCTATACTTGAGCTCATCATTGCAGCCACCGTATCAATCCATCTCGTTGAAGGCCTCCCCCTCTTTCGTCGACCCTCCACCCTACCAAGCATGACATCCTTCTCCAGGGAATGGTCCCTCCTTACAACATGACCAAAATAGGTGAGAGGAAGTCTGGCCATTCTTGCTTCCAAGGAGCATTCTGGCTGCACTTCCTCCAGGACAGATCTGTTAGTTCTTTTAGCAGTCCATGGTACTTTCAGCATTCTTCGCCAGCACCACAACTCAAAAGCATCAACTCTTCTTCGGTCTTCCTTATTCATTGTCCAGCTCTCACATGCATACAAGGTGATTGGAAATATCATGGCTTGTGTCAGGCGCACCTTAGTCCTCAAGGAGATATCCTTGCTCCTCAGCACTTGAAACAGTTCCTTCGCAGTTGACTTTCCCAATGCTACACACCATCTAATGTCCTGACTGCTGCTTCCGTTGGCATCGATTGTAGAACCAAGCAATGTGAATTCCTTGACAACCTCAATCTTCTCTCCATTCATTGTGATGCTGCTCATTGGTCCAGTTGTGAGGATTTTTGTTTTCTTTATATTGAGATGTAATCCATACTGCAGACTGTATTCTTCAACCTTCATCAGTAGGTGCCTTAAGTCATCCTCACTTTCAGCAAGCAAAGTTGTATCATCTGCATATCTCAGGTTGTTAATGATTCTTCCTCCAATCCTGATACCATGTTTTTCTTCATACAGTCCAGCTGCTCGGATTATTTGCTCAGCATATAGATTGAATAAGTGTGGAGAAAGGATACAACCCTGACGCACTCCCTTCTTGATTTTAAACCATGTAGTGTCCCCTTGTTCTGTTTGAACGACAGCCTCCTGATCAAGGTACAGATTCCTCATGAGTACAATCAAGTGCTCGGGGATTCCCATTCTTCTCAATGTTGTCCATAATTTCTCATGATCCACACAATCAAATGCCTTTGCATAGTCAATAAAACACAAGTAAACATCTTTCTGGTATTCCCTGCCTTGAGCCAAGATCCATCTGACAACAGCTATGATATCCCTTGTTCCACGTCCTCTTCGGAATCCGGCTTGAACCTCTGGAAGTTCTCTGTCAATATACTGCTGCAAACGTTTCTGAATTATCTTCAGTAAGATCTTACTTATGTACGGTATTAATGATATTGTTCTATAATTTCCACATTCTGTGGGATCACCTTTCTTTGGAATGGGCACAAATATGGATCTCTTCCAGTCAGTTGGCCAGGTAGCTGTCTTCCAAATCTCTTGGCATAACTGAGTGAGTGCCTCCAATGGGGCATCTGTTTGTTGAAATATCTCAATCGGTATGCCATCAATTCCCGGAGCCTTGTTCTTTGCCAGTTCTTTCATTGCAGCTTTGACTTCTTCCTTCATTACCATTGGTTCTAGATCATATGCCACTTCCTGAAATGGATGAAGATCGATCAGTTCTTTTTGGTACAGTGACTCTGTGTATTCCTGCCATCTTCTCTTGATGTTTCCTGCATCATTCAATATTTTGCCCATAGAATCTCTCAATATTGCAACCCGAGGCTTCAATTTTTTCTTCAGTTCTTTCAGTTTGAGAAATGCCGAGCGTGTTCTTCCCTTTTGGTTTTCAGACTCCAGGTCTTTGCACATTTCATTATAGTAATTGGCTTTGTCTACTCAAGCTGCTCTTTGAATCTTCTGTTCAGCTCTTTTACCTTTTCATTTCTTCCATTTGCTTTAGCTATTCTCTTCTCAAGGGCAAGGTTCAGAGTCTCTTCTGTCATCCACTTTGGTCTTCTCTTCTTTTCTTGTCTTTTTAGTGATCTCTTGCTTTCTTCATGGATAATGTTCTTGATATCTTCCCATAATTCATCTGGTTTTCGGTCGTTGGTGTTCAATGCATCAAATCTATTCTTTAGATGATCTCTAAATTCAGGAGGGATACATTCAAGATCATACTTTGGCTCCTTGGACTTGTTTTAATTGTCTTTAACTTCAAGTTGAATATGCAAATATTATTAGTAACTAAAACATACCAAGTCTGGGGGTGGAGGATGAGTCAATGTTTTTCCTATTTTTCACAATGCAATAGTATTTAATAAGCTCTGTAAGTTCTACCTATAATAAAAGGAAAAATATCTAAAAGAACTCATTTTCTGTTTACCAACCCCTTGTTTACAGCAAAATAATTAATAGAATATCTACCAACTACAGAGGAAGCAAGACTGGGCAATCCACTTCCATAAAGATTTACCCCCTCAGAAACCCAATGGGGGGTCTCTGTGAGTCAGAACCAACTCGATGGCAGTAGGTTTTATCAAATGCAGGTTTTCAGATTTTAAGATGACCTTATCTACTTGCTGGAATCAATAATACTATATTATTTAGATTTTTACACTTCAGATGAACTTTTTTTCTTAGGTGATAATTTTATTTCATCCTTGAGGACATTTCTCAGCATACAGGGAGAGCTTGGGGGTTTTAGGCAATAGTTGTAGCAAACTTCATACTGAGTAAATCTAACAAGTCAGCACATGTTATTGTGGGAAATCACGTAAGAGGAACCTTGCACAATATGTTGTAAGATGTGCCCTTGAGTGATGGATGAAGATAAATGTGTAAATTAAAATGAACAGTTGTTTAAAAAACAATGATCCTTTTCCAGTAATAGTTTCCTGCCTCAAATCTTTGGTTTGATGAGGTGATAGTTAATTAAATAACCTAAAATAATAAGCTCTAAGAAATTACCCTAAATCCTTCTAAGCCCATAATGAACAAAGAACTAAGCTCAGACATAGTAACTTCTACTTCCTCTCAAATGCCAACATATTTTTAATGATTCTAAATTTGGCACAATGCAAATGCATCAAACACAGATTGGGGGTCTGTCTTCTTTCTCCAACATCAGATTTTAACTTTTCCTAAGCTTATGGCTCGTGCGGTATGTCTATACTAAATGAATGGGTGGTCTGAAAAAGTATTTTTGGCTCAGACACTAAAATATTAAATATCTATTCACTTTTAGAAGGAAATTCAGATTTTCCTTTACAGTCATTTGAAACAAAAAGTTCCGGATATTTTTGTTTCCCTGATCTCTGAAAATAACCAAAGAGAACTTCAGTTTTGACAGCCTACTTGAATACATTTTAACTCATTCGCTGCTGTCTATGGAAGTCTCTAACGCTTAAATGGCAAAGATCTTATTTATTATTTATTACTTTTTAACTTCTTCAAATGTTATTGAATATTTCTCTATTAATGTAGAACTAAACAGCCTTAGTAAAAATGATAAAAGACACCTCTCCTCTTTGAAAGACCATTTGTAAGTGGAAAGTACTGGGTGGTGGAATTTGTCAGATATCTGTTTAAAATATGGCTCTGCCATTGTGTTCTTTTAAAGAACTATGTGGGATCCAATTGACAATAGCAATTCGAAAGGGTAGATAGGAAGCTTAGAGGGCAGTGAGGTTATGTTAAAGGGGGATGGAAAATTCAGAAAAGAAAGGTGAGAATGGCTGGACAACTTGAAGAATGTAATCAATGTCATTGAATTGTACATGTAGAAACTGTTTATTGGTATATATTTTGCTGTGCATATTTCAACAACAAAAATTAAATAAATTATTTAGAAAAAGTAAAATATAGCTCCACAATTTACTGGTGATATAGCCAGGACTTGACAAGTGAGCCCCAGGCCAACTTGAGTCTACTGCCTGTTTTTGTAGAGTCTGTGAGATGAGAATGGTTCTTTACACATTTATGTGGCTAGAAAAAAATCAAACCAATAATATTTCATGATACATGAAAACTGTATGAAATTCAAATAGGGCTTTATTACTCATTGAGCTGTATTAGAACACAGCTGGGAGCTCTGGTAGCATAGTGCCTAAGGCACTTGACTGCTAACCAGAAGGCTGGCAGTTCAAATCCACCAGCCACTCCTCGGAAGGAAGACAGGGCAATCTACTTCTGTAGTGATACTGCCTTGGAAACCCAAGGAGGGGTCGCTATGAGTCGGGTCTGACTCGAGGGCACATAACAATAACAACAACAGAACACAGCTACACATTCATTTACATATTGCTTATATCTGCCTGAGATACAACATCAGGTGAGTAGCTGCAATAGAGACTATGGCCCACACAGCCTAAAATATTTACTATCTGGCCCTTTACAGAAAATATCTGCAGACCGCTGCTAAAAGCCTAACATACTCAGAAAGTCTAGTTTCCTGACCTTAAAATGGGAACAGTTGCAACTGCCTCAATGAATTGTGATGAGAATTAAATTAAGTAATACAGATTTGATCTCAAATAAGCACCTTCCAAAACTGGCTCCATACAAGGGAACATATATATTATTGATGCACTGAAAAGATATTAAAGAAACATCATAAGGCAACCTTCAGAAGATGGGACAAAATTATAATCAAAATGCAATATTTACATATTATAACAGCTTTTAAGCAAGAGTTTTATTTCTGTGTTCTATTCTGTATGCTGATCTGTGAGATTGCTGGGTACTGATCATTTGCTATCTCATATTGATACTGTAATTTTTCACAAGGTTATGTCATGAACCTCTACTGGATTGTAAGCTCTGGGTGGTAGAGGTTATATATTATGTGATGTTTGCATTCATGGGTACCTAGAAGATGCTGTCTGAATCACTCCTTCAGGGGAAAAGACGTATAATTAATCATACTTAGGGTATTGTGCTGCTCTATGCCTTATGCCCAGATCCAAGAAATCTCCTTCAGAGGTTTCTTCAACTTCTCATTTACTTGTGGGTAAGCTACTTCAGAGCTATAGCCACTAAACAAATTTAACACAGCAAAAATCAGATTTTAAGGACTTTGGATTTCCATGAGCTAAGGTGAAAAGTACAGGTTATAGTAGAAAGGGACCATAGGGACCTTATAGGACGGAATAGAACTTCCCTATAGGGTTTCCAAGGCTGCAATATTTATGGAAGCAGACTGCCTCATCTTTCACCCACAGAGCAGCTGGTGGGTCAAACTGCCAACCTTCAGTTAATAGCCAAGCACTTAACTACTGTACCACGAGATCAGCATCTAAGAGAGAAGGTCTTAGAAGATATCTTTAGTGGGAGAACTTTTCAAGTATTAATGTTTTCCAGTTCCTTTTCAAGATATTCTTAACTCAAAGACCCAGCAACTAAACCTCAAAGGTATTATTAGTTCCACATATAGAGATAAAAGCTATTGGGCAGGGATGAGTTCTTAGGAATATACTCATAATGACAAAAGGATTTAAAGCCATGTAATCATATGAGGGATGATTGAAAAACTGGAAGACACAAGCACCCATAGAGAAATAAAAAAGGCATTTAAAGATATTTTAAGGGTTCCTGTGTGGAAGACAGGCTTGATTTGTTGTATAATATGGGACCTAGGGATATGCTGCTTTGACACATAAACTTGGGATTTGAAAGAATATCAAAGATTCTGCTGCTCTAGTTATGTTGCCAAGAAGATTTAAAATAGAAAATCACTTCAGGATAGAGTGTCCCCTCACTTCAAAAAAGAAAAAGAACCCCGATTTTCTTAAATAAAAGATAGATTTTGTCCAGAAATGTTTTCATTTTCGGTCTTTAGGACTGATTGTGAAAAATAAACAACATAGGTTTTTTTGTTTTGTTTTGTTTTTTAATGGTGATGATTTACTTGGTTTAAGAACCACAGAATACAATTCATATGTACTCACAAGGAAGTATTTAGAACAATAACTGAAGGCGACAGGCTTTATTAAATGATGTAATGGGTAAGTACTTTGGACTTTTTCTGGCAAAGGATATTAGACTCCCACAAGAATAAAACTCAGTTAGCCTTTTTGGGAAGACTGGAGTTCAGAATTCCTTGGGCCAAAGTCATTCATTAAGGTTCCTTAACTACAACTCTGATTCTATGGCCTTCTGCTTAAGTAGAGCCCACCAATCACTCACAGGAGGCCATGGAGAGAGATCCCTGCACCCAACACAGCGAGGTGAACCATATGACGTGTATAGCCTCCAAAGCACCCTCACACTTAGCAGGCTGGGATTTCCTCATGTGTGTGCTGCTGTTCTGAAGCGTAAAAATATCCTCAGATTTTCTCAATCTAGTCACAAGAGTACTGAGATTTGGCAAGTAAAATTTAAAAGCTGGTAAACTCTGCTGGGCTATATAGCAAGATGGTTCTTTTTGCTTCACTCCCTCTCTGACCCTGTGGTAAGTTTCTTTATTTTATTTTTTTTAATTATTTACAATATCTCTCAAACATTATCAGTAATGGCTTTTCATATTTTCTTAAGAACCAGCTTAACATGTTTAAAAGGTGGGGTTTCTTTTTATTTTAGATCTTTATTACAGATAATTAAGATTGAATTTTTTAGGAGGGGTAGTGGGTATGATTGAGATGCCCTGTAATGATTTTTACCCTCTTTTTTGTCTGTTGAAGACACAGTATAAATTAAACAGGAACAAAACCTAAATACAATAGTGCCCACCAGGCAACCTTCATTAGCCCATTTACCATAACCAGGTATTAATTTCTCATAAAAACATATCCTTCAAATGTTGAAACAACCTATTATCCTTCCTCCATTAAGGAACTATGACAGTGAAAAGTGCCAAGAAGGCACCCTCAGAACCAAGAGGATGATAGATCCAGGATAATATTAAATTGTTTAAAGGTAGGGTAAAGAGAGTAAGCATCACTAATTTCTCAGACATCATCCCTGTACTTTTAATGCTACCCACATATCCAATTAGTAACAGCAGGCTTAATGCTATAGCAACTAAACCCACTTTCTGAAAATAAATGACTTAACCATGGGAGGTAAGTTAATTCTTTTAAGAGAAAAGGTTACATCAAGTCAGTTACCTTGTACAGAGCTTAAATGTCTATTTTCCATGCAGTCAATTACTCTCTAATGCTATTAGTCATCCTAACATAACTTAATTATTGCTTGAAACACAAGTCAGATGCACTGCAAAATAATCATTTAAGTAATGCAATAATAACATGGTAGCATACATTTTCAAAGTTCTACACCCAGTCACCTTTCCCTTTCCAAGAGAAAAGGAAAAGATATTAAAGACTATCTCTTAGCTGTTATAATATGCAAATATTGCATCTTGATTATAATTTTGTCCCATCTCCTGAAGGCTGCCTTATGATGTTTCTTTAATATCTTTATCACTCCATGCCTATGTGCAAGTGGTGAAATTTCTACACTATACCAACTTCCTTAGATCTAAACAGGAAAAATAGCTTATGTAGTAGTCCACACTGCTGTTTTCTGAAGAACAAAATATGCCCACTGTACCATAAACATCACTGCTTTAAGGACCTACCTTCTCTCTACTACTATGAGCAGTTAAAGACCTTTGTGCTGCCCCACGAAGAGCTGTTCGGTAATTGTAGAAATTGCTTGAAGGGTCCATCTGATGCTGTAGACAAAAGAGAGAAGTTTATAATATGCAGGAAGTTTACATGGTCACACTTTTAACTATGCATAAATATTTTAAAATAAGTTAGAGAACACATTAGGAATATGATTTATCTTTCTCATACATATATACACATGAAACACATAAGCACCCAAAGGTTTTCTTTCCTGAGCTTTGGTTTATTTATACAAGCTGATGTCAATTTCAATATTGTTAAACCCACACGAAATTCCTTCCAGGCTAATTGTTGAGATTAGGCCTAAAACTGATAACTAATAGTCAAACACCAGCTTTAGAAAAATTTACTAGTTTCATTTAAAGGTCACCGGGCCAGTTGTGGTCAACCATGCATGGTGAAACAACACTGTAGTACCCTTGTTCTTTGTACTCAGTAACAAATCATTCACAAATAATTAAAGCATATTATCTTGTAAGAGAAAAATGAAATTATGAGACTATGAATAAAGCATCATATAAACCATATAATAATAATTCTTAATTTGGGAGAAAACTTAGGAAAGAGACTTTTCTTATCTCCAAAGATAGCAGATTGAAAATACAAGAACATCAAGGTAATACTGAATTTTTATACAAATAATGCATGCTTCTTTTCTTTTTCCTCCCCTGCACAACACTGTGTACCGCCCCCACTACTATTTTCTTAACATACTTTGCCAAGTGTTATATGTATGGGCCTATTATTTACATGGGGCATTATTTGAGAAAAAATATGGTACAGAGTTGAGTATGATTCAAACACAAACACCTTTTGCCCAATTCTTATTACACTCAGAAATACAGTGGAAGGCCATTGCCCCCAGTTGGCAGTTTGTTGAGAGGATAGTGAGTGAGCATTTCTCTGGGGAATGGGGAACTTCTCCCTTAGAGACAGTACAGACAAAAGCCAGTAGTACCTAATAAAGTAAAATTCTCAACTGTTCAGCACTCAGATTCTATCCTGGCATGCAATGTGATGTGACCAACAGGTCATGGTTTCTCCTGCTGATTCACCTTAAAATGGAAACCTCTTTATAAAATGACTAGTCTGTAACCTGAGTTATTTCCCTCTCCAATTCTAATCTTCCTTTTCTTACCCCAGGTCTGCAAGAAGAGATGAGCTTTTTGCTTCTGTACTCCTAACTGATCAAGGGGCAAGATCACACATGGGAACTCCACATTCTAGTGTAAAATGTTACTTAACAGGAAAATGTCAGTGTTACATACTTCAAGAACGTCAAACTTTGCAGTCTTCACTTTGGCCCAAGTTTTCTTTAGTCGAGAGACTGGGCTCATATTCATGCCAGCTTCCCATATAAAATGGATGAGGAGGAAAAAAGAAAGTTGAAATAGAGAAACAGAATAGCCACTCTAATTTATACTCTTAAAAAGTGCTCACTGTCAAGTATAAATAGCATGTCTACAAATTAAAAGTAAGTTATACACTCTAATTTTGAAAATTTTTCTTGCAAATTACCCTTGAGCATGCAAATAACATAACTATTCCCATTTACTTTGACCAGAGGTCAGAAAACTGTCTTTAAATGGAAAGACGTATACATTTTAGGCTTTGTTGGCCATACGGTCTGTGTCACAACTACACATGCACACTTGTGTTTCCACTGTATCACAAGAGCAGCCATGGACACTATGTAAACAGATAACATGGCTGTGTCCCAATAAACCTTCATTTATGGACACTGAAATTTGAATTTTATATTATGTTTATGTGTCATGAAATGTTCTGTTTTTGATTTTTTAAGATTATTTAAATATATAAAAACATTCTTAGATCACGGGCCATTAAAAATAGGTGTGGGTGGGATATGGTTTAAAAGATACAGTTTGACCTAGACCCTAACATTTCCATATATATCATCTATTCCTATAAAAATAAGCTGACGCTCCAGGAGGTAAGACATTTTCCCAAGGTCATCCACTTAACAAGTAGTAAAGATGGTAGCTCACAAGGATCTGACTCCAGAACCTACACTCATTCCAGTATCCTACATTGTCTCTCCTGAATGATGCTTTAAGTACCATCCAAAAACCCACTGCCAACAAGTCAGTTCTGACTCACAGCGATGTTATTTATAGGACAGAGTAGAACTGCTCCTAGTGTAAGAAGATTCTTTTTTTATTTAATTGAGGTAAAATATACATTTGGGGCAATTCATGGATATTAAGTATACAATCTGAGGAATTTTGGCAAATTTATAAACCACTCTAATCAAGATATATGCAACAACTGCCATCGATTCAGATCCAACTCATAGCAACCCCTCCTTGGATTTCCGAGGCAGTATCACTATGGAAGTAGATTGCCCAACCTTCCTTCCAAGGAGTAGCTGGTGGGTTTGAACTGCCAGCCTTCTGGTTAGCAGTCAAGTCCCTTAGGGACTATGCTACCAGAGCTCCTAATCAAGATATAGAACTATTTAATCACTCTAGAAAGCTCCCTTGTACACTCTCCCAGTCAATCCTCACCACCTTTAAGTCTAGAAACTGCCAAACCTAACCACCATGGGTGATCCTGCCGGTATTGAAATATCAGTGACACAGTTTCCACTAGGGGCAGTTCTACTCTGTCCTATAATGTCACTGTGAGTCGGAACTGACTTGTTGGCAGTGGGTTTTTGGACGGTACATAAAGCATCGTTCAGGAGAGACAATGTAGGATAATTGGAATGCGTGTGGGTTCTGGAGTCAGATCCATGTGAGCTACCATCTCTATTACTTGTTAAGTGGATGACCTTGGGAAAATGTCTTACCTCCTAGAGCGTCAGCTTATTTTTACAAGAATAGATGATATATGCAAGCCACTGTAGGAAGACAAACTGACAGACGGGTGGTGGTACTGATTTGTAGTGTTCTTCATATATTTCTAGACATGAATCCTTTGTCAGCTAGAGACATTACAATGTTTTCTCCAAGCTGTGGCTAGTCTTGACATGTTCTTAATAGTCTAAGGAGTATATTAAGTAAGATTATATTACCTAGATCATGGGCCTTTCAGGCCCCTGATTTAGAGGACCTTCCTGTTAATGATTTTCAAGGAATGAGCCAGATAAATTGAGCTGTAATTAGCCAGTATTTTTGAGGGAAATAAATGAGAAATGATATGGAAAAAAGAATTGATGAGAGAGGAGATTTATCAGGAGCAATATTTTTGAATTAAATTTGGTGGCTTCTCAGGCTTCAAGTTGACCCTGACTTTATTCAAATATTCACTGAGCACCTGCAATATTCAGGATGATCATATAATTGATCACACAAATTAGGATACTTTTTAAATGAAAGAGTCATTATTAATAATTAGGACAAGCTGGAAACCAAGACATGGTGTCACCTGCACTCAATATTTGTAAAATGAATGGAAATAAACATGATCACTGGCATTAAAATTCTCAGATGGAGAGAAGGAACAAGGTTGTATAAAGGCCAATAAAGCCTGTGGGTGATAAGTACCACAGGGGCACAGACAGTCAGAAAACGGTCCAGTCTATCAAGCCACTGTCTTGTCCATAGTAATGCAATCCTATCACTTAGTCTCAGATCATCTCTCTCTAAGATGCCTAATATACAAACTACTCGAACACTTTATAAAACTAGACTTATGATTCATTTACAAGATTTTATATTCAGATGAAAATAAGTAGACTGAAAATATTCTATGAATTCTTGCATCCTAAGAAAAAAGATGAGATATACTTGTACCATTTTGACTACTTTAGCTATTTCTATGTTCTGAAATAATTAAGGATTAAAAACCAGTTTCATTAACAAAACTATAGTACTTTGCAAATTGACAATGGATATAATTCATACAATCTCTAAAGATAAAGGGCATGCATCCTCCAGAAATACTCACAAATTATTGCCATCAAAGAGTTAAAATTGCCGATGTTAAAACACTCCCGAGCTACGTCAATGAAATACTCAATCATTCTTGCTCGGTGCTTCTTCTTCACAGGCTGGGCAGAAAAAGACAATAGAGGTCTATTATCCAACATGTAGGCCCAACAGTTATAAAATAAGTATGGAAAAAAAAAATGCTACTGTGAGATAGAAGGCAGGAGAAAATTCATTTTCTCACCATGCAGATTTCTGTAGCAACCAAATAGCTGAGGCGGTTAAACCATTCTACGTAAGCTTCTAAGTTTCGTGTTTTCTTCCGGTCACTGTAGCAAGTCTATAGATAAAGCAAAGTGAGCAGATGAATTAGAGAGAAAAGAATATATCAGGTTCTCATTCTGTCAGATATAGACCATTATTTTCAGTTTAGTTGGTGGACTAGAAAATCTTCCTAGGACTCCTCTCCCCCCAAAAAGTAAAGAAGAGAAGATAAGTGAAAGAGCCTTTCTTAACTCTTCTCACAGAAGCAGCAGAATATCTTAGTACAGTCCATTGAAACCTCCAAGGTCTAGAAATGCACTATGATACAACTGTAAAGGTGCTCTTTCCTCTCAGGAAGCTAACTTACACTGGGTGAAATTGCTCTGGCCTCAAAACACAATTCAAGGATTCTTACGCTAAAAGATAATTTTATCACCTTTTAAAAACAATCTTCACTGATTAAAGGAATAAGGATACCAATTACTACAGACACAGCAAGGAAGACTAAGTGTGTAAGGAACTAGAAAATTTTCTCCTGAAATTAAGTCTTAGGACAAACTTTAGTAGCATCATGTCATAGAAAATCACTTATCTTCCAAGGTAGTTAAATGAATGTGTATTCCATGATGGACTTTAGGAGGGTGAGTGACACATTGTTCAAAAGCAAAAGGGCTTAACCTCATCTTAGAGTTCAAGGCCAGGCTTGGACAGGTTAATTACACCCTCTTTCCTTCCTTCCTTCCAAAAAAAAAAAACTCCAGTAGTCTTCTATTGCAAAAGGTATTCTTCACTTCCCGTACTTCGGGAAACTGTTCTAAGGCCGGAAAACAGCTGTTATCCCTCCTCACAGCAGGGGACTTTCATCAGTGGGTTACATGGTCTTTGCCTAACAATTCAGAATGCCTCTAGAAGTCACTGGGAAAAAAAAAATATATATATATATTTATGTATGTACATTGATATTATAGTTGTGGCCGCTATTATTTTCTTTATGTGTGGGCTTCACCCAGGCAACAAAGCTGTCATAAGGGATTCACCTTAAAGCAAGAGACAAAATAGTGAAGACCCTTGCTCAGCAAGCTAGACTCAGGAAGCTGGATGTGCTTCCTGTCTTACTGCCCCTGCTATTGTTGAATCATGAGCAAAGCACTCTTTTGTATTTTCTTTCTGACTTAATCTGCTAAAACCATTATGTTATTATCTCCTGTCTTCATCACCGCAAATGCCTGCATCTACTTGCTGTAAAGGGCTTATTAAATTTCCCAACAAGGAGGAAGCAGGGGCTAAAAGTTGGCAAAGGGGTAAGAATATTGTAAAGCTACTTGGGAAATTTACTCAAGAAAAAGTGTTATGAATCAGACATGTTTTTTTTTTAAAAAAAAACTCTTGATTTTAAAACCTAAAACAGAATAGCTTCCACTTTTGTCTCTTGTGCACACTATCACAGGTCAAGGAAATCCATTTATGGTTCCAGGGCTGCCCTCCAGGTAGACCGATGGGTCTTTACCTTGTCATTGTCCAAAGGACCCTTCTGTACAAATGCTTGAACAAATTCTTCTGGCCCAATGTAATTTAGCCTCTCCTGAAATACAAACCCAGGTCAGTAACATTCACGTGAATTAGAAGAAATGGATAACTTCCTCTATTAACTTCTGACACCCCTATTTTTTATGTAGTTTATAAATAAGCCCTTCACCCTAAATACTTTCTTCACCTTCAAGAAAGATCTGAACAGGGGCAATTTCTGCTTTGGTCAATGTGCCACAAGATACTGAAATATTGAGTGAGTTAGGGAATGACAGGAGGCCCTGAGTGGTCCAAACATGGTCAGCTGCTAACCAAAGTTTTTGAGGTTCAAGTCCACTCAGAGGCACTTCAGAAGAAAGGCCTGGTTATCTACTTCAAAAATATCAGCCACTGGAAACCCTATGGAGTACAGTTCTGCTTTGACATGGGGTTGCCATGAGTGGAAATAGACTTGATGGCAAATGGTTTAGGGAATAGTATTATTGGAAGGGGAAAATGAGGAAGGTCAATAAATTTTGCTCTTCAGATATTTTCTGTAGTCTTGCTTAATTAATATTTGTTTTAAATCCTCAGAGCATCAGAAGCATTATACTCAAATATCTAAAAACCATGTTCCAACTATTTTGTAGATTATTTACCATTTGGAACATTCTAATCTTTCCCTGTGATATTACTGTTGATGACTACACTATCTCGTTGTCAAAGCAAACCAAATCTTTGTTGTAAAGGCCCAGAATAATAATGGCCTTACCAGTTCTATGTGAGTCAGCTGTTGGGCCAAAGTGTAAGGGTCACTGCACACAGTAATGATGTCCCGTTGTATGGACTGTGGCTTGGTCTTGAGAACAGTGAGTCGATCTGTGGATGTGGCACTGATTTTTGCCAAGACTTCCTCATACTGGCTGAGAGTAGCAAGCTTGCGGATCAGACACTGGATCATCTGTTGGACATTCTTACGGTATGTCTGCCAAGACATAAGCAAAAGATTATAGTCTAGCTTTCCATGTCAGTTTTCACCACTAAGAAGACTCAAATTCTGCAAGCAAAACAGAATGAAATATTGCCCCAAACTATTTTACCTTGATGTAGAGAACCACTTTGGTTCAGATGAGTTATAGTAGGATTCAGCCTAACATTAACAGTTTAAAAGAGTTTGTACAATTCAGGTTTGGCCATGAAAACATTACAATGATGTTTCAGATTAGCTATGAGAAAATCCCAGAAGGAAGGTTGGGCAATCTACTTCTGAAGTGATACTGCCTCAGAAACCCAAGGTGGGTCACTATGAGTTGGGTCCAATTCGCCGGCACGTAACAACAACAACAACAACAACATGAGCAAATCCAATATGAGCACGATATATATAACAAAATTTTCTCTGGACTGATAAATAAAATCAGTTTACTTTTAGTGGGTTAAAATGCACAAATACCAAAACAGAGCATCCAGTTCATGATGTTTTTAGGGCCACCTTCTTGAATTCCCTATTCCTCTAATTCCCAATCCCATCCGTGTAAGGACATGAATAGCTACCTGACTGAAATACATCTTTACTTCCTACCTACTGCCCAAGCACCTGCCTGACTTACACATCTATCATGCACTGCCATGAGGAAACAACAGATATTCATTTTGGTATCTGACCTTGGCGCATGTCCATTTCTTCTGAGTTCGTAAGTCAATGCTAATATTCCTGGTCAAACTCTTCCACATGACAGTTGTTCGAGTAATGCTATTACTGGCTGTCACCTTGTTTGCTACTTTATTGACTATCGCCACAATATTTAAGATAAATGAGTTTAAAACCATTGTATGTACTATAGATAAATGCCTTTGAAAACACTTCTAAGTCAAAGAAATGGCTTCACAATCAATCAACTCACAGGTTACAGTTATGATATAGGTTATAGAGTTATTGTTCCTTTACTAGCCAGAAATTGAGAGAAAACAAATTTCCTTCTAGGTAAAGGGTGTTATCAGACAAAGGCAAATAAGCTGATGATTCAGGCTGAATAAGTGACAATGCAGACTTAGGTGAACAGTTCCAAAGGAAAACAGACCCAGTGAATTTGTTCTTGTTTGCTGTCAAGTTGGCTGACATTTGGCAACCCCATGTAAAACAGAACAAAACATGGTGCCTGGTCCTGCAACATCATGTTCCTTGGTGTGCTCAAATCCACTGTTTCAGCCATTGTGTATTTTAATTATTTTTCAACCAAAGGGCCCATCTTCCAGCACTACATTGGCCAATATTCTGTTGTGATTCATAAGGTTTTCATTGGCTCCTTTTTGGAAGTAGGTCTTTCTTTCTAGTCTGTCTTAGTCTAAAAACTGTTGAAACTTGTCCATCATGGGTGACCCTACTGATATTTAAAATGCTGGTGGCATAGCTTCCACTGATGGGATTGGGATTAGATGTAAGCCACCAAAGAATAACAAACTGACAAGACAGGTGGTGGTCAGTGAATGTAGAAAGGGTTATTATGTTTGTGCTCATTTTCTGAGGTTAGTCATCTGAAAATTAAGTGGTATCTTACCAAGTGTAAGAAGTACATAAATATAAAATACATACATATATATATTTCCCTGGGAGCTCTGTAGCATAGTGGCTAAGGCACTTGGCTGCTAACCAGAAGGCTGGCGGTTCAAACCCACCAGCCATTCCTCGGAAGGAAGGTTGGGCAATCCTACTTCCGTAGTGATACTGCCTCGGAAACCCAAGGAGGGGTTGCTATGAGTCGGGGCCGACTCGATGGCACATAACAACAACAACAACTGGATGACAGGGAGCTCTGGTAGCATAGTGGCTAAAGGCACTTGACTGATAACCAGAAGGCTGGCGGTTCAAACCCACCAACCACTCCTGGGAAGGAAGGTTGGACAATCCTACTTCTGTAGTGATACTGCCTCGGAAACCCAAGGAGGGGTCGCTATGAGTCGGGGCCGACTCGATGGAAAATAACAACAACTGGATGACATTTTGTTTTCTCTCTAAATTCATAGATCACTGTAAAATCACTAATGAAATCCCAAAGTGTTTTAAAAAGTTGAACTTTCAAAATCCTATCTTCTGCAGAGTGTTAAGGTAGTCAGTTTAGAAGATGCTACCTATTTGGCAATATGCTTGCTACTCAAGGAAAATGTCTTTTTGAAATTTCTAGCTGTTCAAAGCCAAATTTAGGGTTATTTAAAATCTCTCAGCCCTATTTCCCCACCCATCTACTTTTATAACTTTGAGTAACTTTAAAAATCTATGAACATAAAGTATTTTCTTCAGCCCTTATCCCCAGTAAATGCATATATGAGTTAGATACTAGTTCTAAAAACCACACAACTATCACAATTATTTCCCAGTGCTCATATTAAACACTTGCTTACACGTACCATCCAGAGTAGAAAGTACATTTTATAAAGTTGAAGTAAGCTATTTACAAAATCAACCACTTCTATCACTATCCTGCAACTTTACTAAACATTATTTGACATAGATAAGGAAATTATCTTCTATCAAAAATCTTTCTAAGAAAATGTCTGAATTTTCTGTATAAGAATTTTACTTGTTTCTAACACAAGAGTTTCTAAAAAGGTTGGGAAATAAATCAAAACATGGTTCAATCATATAACAACAACCCAACCATATACCAGAATACTGTGCCATAGTTCAAAGAGGGAACAGACATTTGCTCTGACATTGGAAAGTTTTGGGCACATTATAATGAGGGGGAGGAGAGACAATGAAGAATAATAGGTAAACACATACACAAACAACCTATATCTATTACTTCATGGGTGTAAGAGTATGTGCATAAATACATATATATCGAGAAGCAGCTCTGGAAGGATACACACCAAAAGTAACAAATACTGTTCCTCTTGAGAAAAGAAGGAGGACTGGTGGAAGTTTTGAGTACCCTTTGCTTTGTGTGAACTATTTTTTCATTTTTTTCAAAACAATGAGAATGAATGGAAAAAATCAAGGCCACTGGCAATAAAATTCCCATGATGCAGAGTAGTAGCAAGTTTGTGTAATGGGTAATAAAGCCTGTGGGTGTTAGTACTACAGGAGCATAAGCAGTCAGAAAACAATCCAACTGCTCAGGCCACTCTCTTGTCCAGAGTGAAGTAATCATATCATTTAGTCTCAGATCATCTAACTTGATGATGCTTAATACACAAACTACTTAAAACTTTATCTGGGTAAATACCTCATGTATAAGCTTCTATAAATACTCAGATGGAAATAAATTGACTCAAAGTATTCCATGAATTTTTGCACACTATAAAAGAACTAGACATACTCGTACCACTTTGGCTAAACCATTTTTAGACTTTCCCATCACAATGGATTTTTTAACACATTTAAGATAGTTCTTCTCATTCAAAAAAGCTACAGACAGGTACAAAAAAAGCTACAATATTTAAAAACCCCATCGGTTACCTTCCAAGCACGTTATCATACCTAAATCATGTACTCTCCCCCTTCACAGGATCCCCAAGGAAAATACTTTTGTCAGAAATTCCCACTTCTCTGCTGGTCACCACCTGAGGGTACTACCTGAGAAGCAATGATCACCAAAAACAGCTAATCGGGGACAAGCAGCAGCCTGCCTCCCTCTATTCTGATTTAATTGGTCTGGAGTGCAGCCTAGGTATCAGGATGCAAATACTCCCCAGGTGATTCTAACACGCAGTGAAGTGTGAGAACTAGTACTCTCTAGAACATCAAGCATATGTGGTAAAAGATTTTTTATTCTATACTTCCTTGATATTGTCAAGTCAATTCCAACTCATAGAGACCTCATGTGCGCAGAGTAAAACTGCTCCATAAGGTTTTAAAGGCTGTGACCTTTCAGAAGCAGATCTCCAGGTCTTTCTTCTGAGGTACATCTGGGAGGGTTCCAACTGCCAACCTTTTGGCTAGCAGTCAAGAGCTTAATCATCTGTACCACTCAGGAACTCCTTCTCTTTTGCACTTTACAAAAGCTTTCTATAGGAAGGAGGGAGAGGGAATATTATATTCAAGGACTCAACTCCAAAGAGGTTGCTAGTGAGCAAAAAACAGCAGCAAAATGTCAGGGGAACACTTACCTAATTGTTGTTGTTATTGTTATGTGCCATCGAGTCATCTCTGACCCACAGTGACCTCTCCTTGGGTTTCCAAGGCATTATCTCTACAGAAGTAGATTGCCCAACCTTCCTTCTGAGGAGTGCCTGGTGTGTTTGAACCACCAACCTTCTGGTTAGCAGTCAAGTGCCTTAGGCACTATGCCACCAGACAAACTCACTGCGGTCGAGTTGGATCTGACTAATAGCGACCCCTCCTTGGATTTCCAAGGTGGTATCTCTATGGAAATAGATTGCCCAACCTGCCTTCTGAGGAGTGGCTGGTGGGTTTGAACCACAAGCCTTCTGGTTAGCAGTCAAATGCCTTAGGCACTATGCTACCAGAGCTCCTAAATAGGAGATAAGGGAAAGCTATTCCTGTAACAACTACTCTGTGCATGCTCATGTGCGTCTGTATGAGAAAGAGAGAGAGAGAGAGAGAAAATACATGTGTGTGACTTCAAGTCTCTTACTGATATTTGATTCCATTGGAGAAACCAAGTTTCATGTTGTTAAATATACTTCTTCACTAAGTCATGAATTACTAAATATGTACTTATTCTTTTTTGTACCTTCAAATGCCAGTGACAATAACTACCTGGCAAATAAAGATAGAAGTTCTTGTTATAAAGACCAGCCTTGTAAAGAAGAGAAAATTGCATTCTACCCATTATCCTCATTTGTCATGTAATTCAATCATTAGTTTCATTTATATTTCTTGCAGGTAAGTCCTAATAAACCACTTCATTTTGGGCAAATCCCCAAGAGGGAAACATATTAAGCCAAATTATGTGGAACTACTCTAGTAAATTCAGAAGAAACTGACTAAAGTATATATAGAGCACACCTGGATTCACTGAC